ATACACAAAACAACTTCTTTCTTACCAGAGTGAAAGACTACGGAATAAATGTCCCCCTCTGGTTTTCCGTCCATATTGGCTGCCCCACTCACTTGTCTTCCCTGCAATCAAAGCCAATTGCATAATCTTACTTCCATTTGTACAGGGCAGTAGCTGTGGGTGGGGCAGCCACTTTCCTCCTGCTGGCCACATTTGACGGGCTGGATGAGGCCGCCCACTTGCCCATCACCTGACATCACGATGATGATGTTGGAGTCCAGCTCATAAGAACCTAACAAAGAGCTCGGCTGCTGGATCAGACCAGTCCCCCATCTAGTCCAGCATCCTCACAGTGGCCAAGCAGAGGCCTCCATGCAAAGCCTACTAGCAGGACCAGAATACAACAGCCCACTCTTCGCACTTGCGGTTCCCAGTGTGCTATCTCTGAGAGTGGAGGGAGAACCTCATATCATGCATCATAGCCTCTGGTGGCCTTATAACCCTCCATTATAACCCTCCAATCCCCGTTAAAAGCCACCCAAGTTAGTGGCTGTCATCCCTGTGTCTTGTAGAAGTGCATTCCATCGTTTAACTTTGTGCTGTGTAAAGAAGTTCTTCCTTTTGCCGGTTCTGAATCTTCCACTGTTCAGGTTCACTGTTCTAGACGTTCCAGAGTATTACGAGAGAGAAACTATCCCCTGTCTCCACTTTCTCCATGCCAGGCATTGATATTATGCAGCTCTGTCGCGTCCCTGCTCCCTTGACTCTTTTCTAAACTGATACACACCCAAAATGTTGAAGGCTTCTTGCAGTGGCCAACCAGACGTCCCAGGTTGCCTGCAAGCGAGACCTGGGCATGGCAGTCCTCTCCTCACCTGTGCTTCCCGGCAGCTGGTATTCAGAGGGACATTCTGCCTCCGGCCGTGGAGAGAGAGCCTGGCCGGAGAACTCCTAGCCGTCAGCATGGACAATAGCTGGTGGAAGTTGCAATGCAGAGGACTGCATCCGCCCTGCCCTTGTTTCTCTTGCCATCTGGTCAAGGAATAAGATAAGGCTCGCCTACGCAGAGCTTCTCCTGCACAAGAACCCCACAAACTACGTCTGACCAGAGCCTTGCCTGCCTTGCCCACCTCATCCCACTGCAAGATGGCGGCAATGCAGGGTCCGCCTCGTCTTTCAGAGATGGAACTGGGAGCAGGAGGTGCCCACCCCCATTCTGACGCACTCCTCTCCGTTCCACCAGGCTCCCTCCACCAAAGTTATTGCACATTTAGGAGAGAAAGAGCTGGTTGCCTGAATTCATGTGAACCATTCATTGTTGTGAGGTTAATTTGAACATGGACAGAGGTAACTGTTTTGAGCAAAGTACACAGACGGTACACAGATGGTTTCAGTGCAAATACACACATTCCCCTAATATATATAGCTTTGTGCATATTATTTGGAGAACTGCATGACAAAATTTGGAGAGAAGTGCGGAATTTGAAGGATTGCTGTGCTACAGCTCAATGGTGTGTGGATGAAGTGGATTCTCTTCAAAAGGGGACAGGAACTGAATTTCACCTCTGTCCCTATAACCCCCATGCAGGTAATTCTGTCAAGTCTGAAGGACAGGACATGCATCACACAACACACACACATCTCTGCAACCCAAGAGCTTTATGTGATTGCTGCACATGCATCTTGATGTTTTCTCTTCTATGAAATTACCACCCTGATAGATGGGTAACCAATGGCAGGGGAGCTCTGTGGTGGCGGCCTGTGACTCTTATTGACCTGCCTACACCCCAAGATCAGCAGATGACACCTTGGGGGTGCCTAGCCTGGATGAAGAACATGGGTGCTGTGAGCCTAGGAAAGGGTCTTTTTAGTAGTGGCTCCTCATAAGTGGAACTGAGGTGCCTCTGACTCCACCTCACTTCTCCTACCTAGGCAGTTATCTTTCCACAAAGGCCAACACTGATGCCGAAATCCAGCATCGCCTGAGCTCTGCAAGTGCAGCTTTCTCCCGACTGAAGTGCAGAGTGTTTGAGGACCGGGACATTCGCAGCGAAACCAAAATGCTTGTTTACAAAGCTATTGTACTTCCAACCTTACTATATGCTTGTGAAACATGGACCACTTCTGAACAACATCTCCAACTCCTCGAAAGATTCCATCAACGGTTTCTCCGGATTTTTTACACATCACTTGGGAAGACAGGCAAACTAATACCAGTGTATGGGAAGAAGCAAAGATCACCAGTGTTGAAGCAATGCTTCTTCAACATCAACTTCGTTGGACTGGTCATGTTGTGCGGATGCCTGATGATCATCTTCCAAAGCAACTACTCTATTCTGAACTTTAAAATGGAAAGCGTAATGCTGGTGGTCAACAAAAGAGGTTTAAAGACTGTCTCAAGGCACATCTAAAAAAATGTAGTATAAACACTGACAACTTGTAAACACTGGCCTGCGAGTGCTCCAATTGGAGAACAGCCTTTACCAAAAGTGTCATGGGCTTTGAAGACACTCAAACTCAGGACGCAAGGGAGAAATGTCCTAAGAGGAAGGCACGCTTGGCAAACTCTCACCATGATCAACTCCCGCCTGGAAACCTATGTCCCCACTGTGGAAGGACGTGTGGATCCAGAATTGGCCTCCACAGTCACTTAGGGACTCATTGTTAAAACCCTGTTTATGGAAGACAATCTTACTCGGCTACGAGGGATGGTCAAAGAAGAAGTTTTAGTCGACTGGTTCTGATGCATCTATTTTGGCAGGTGCTTGGAGGGGGAGGAGGGACCTGGTGGCTGCTGCCACTATTAGGAACTGCCCTTTTGTGATTTATTAAATGTTTTTCAGGACTGCATTATTTTATGGATTTTAGAAATCCCATTTGTCTGCTGCAAACTGCCCAGTGGCTTGTGTAGCAGCAGGTGGCATTTAAATTAACATATATATATATATATATATATATATATATGCACAAGCACTGTGTGTGTGTGTGTGTGTGTGTGTGTGTGTGTGTAGTGTCCTACATACTTCTATGGCTGACCTTTAGCCCATACACATTGCATGCATTGCTCAGTTGGTAGAGCATGAGACTTAATCTCGAGGTTGTGGGTTCAAGGCCCATGTTAGGCAAAAGAGTCCTGCATTTCAGAGGGTTGGACTAGATGACCCTCGTGGTCCCTTCCAACTCTACAGTTCTATGATTCTGTGCCTGCTTCGTTTTCACAACAGCCCTGCAAGGTCGCTTGCATGATTCCCTTTCCACGGGCTTTTGGAACAAAGGCTGAGAGATAAGAGTTTTGCATTATCAATGCAATGCATTGTTCATTTGCTACCCTGAACTGCTTTGGGAAGAAGGACAGGAGATAAATTGGAATGATAACAATAGCACACATCAGGTGCTCTAAGATAAAGGGTCTGGGGGAGGGAGTGTCACCTGAAATCAAATCCATGTGCTTCTAATAATCTCTTACTTGGTTTCATGAGGAGGTGTGGACAGTTTAGTATCTCTTAACGGTTAGAAAAACCATCGGTTGCCAAATGGCACAAACTGCCTGTACCTGAACACTACAAAGTCTGGGGAATTGCTGGTACAGAACCATAGAATTGTAGTGTTGGAAGGGACCCCAAGAGTCATCTAGTCCAACCCCTTGCAAAGCAGGAATATGGCAACCCTTAAGCTGAAGACAGGCTTTTTGTTGTCGTTCCTTTTCGTACAGACATCAGAAGCTGCCTTATGATACCGAGCCAGTCCACTGGTTCATCTACAATGACTGGCAGCAGCTGTCCAAGTTTTCAGGGTTTAGGGCCGGAAGACTTTCAACCCAACCCTACTTAGAGATGCTGTCAGGGATTGAACCTGGAGCCTTCTGCACTCCAAGCAGATGTCCTGCCAGGAAGGTACACTCCTTCCACAAAGTATCACGGAAATCTTCCTGCAGCAACTTATCCCAGTCTCTCTTATACTCAACAGGATTAGCAGGTGCCTGTATTGCTGCAGAAACCCATTTGTCTAGAGCTGAGAGCGGGGCAGAAGAAATTGCTGTGTGGGTGTGCCTTGCGAGAGGAAGCACATCCTCTCGCAAGCCACTTTTGGCTGCCTCAGAAACAATTGTCTGACTTCAGCCTTGCTGAATATGTATGACAGAGGGAGCGGATAATGAACACTATGAAAGGGACGTCTTCCTTTTGTTAACTCTTGGAAGATGAGGTGCAATACGGCTGTAAGTGCATATAATAATAGTTGAATTATGCGCCTGAGTCCCTCCCCACCCTCCTCCCTGGGATCTGATGTTTCCACTGAAAATGCGCGGCTACAAAGCGGATAAAAGAATAGCAATGAATCCCAAAAGTACACTTGCGCAGCAAAAGTGCCCCTCTTGCAGCAAGACAACAAAAGTGCCCAGCAATGCACACACAAAGGCTGGGGGTGGGGACGGGGACATGTGAGGTTGCAAAAGGAACAAGCCCACATGAAAACATGTATCACACATGCATCAGAGGCAGTAAACAAGATTCAGCCACTAGGGGTCGACAAAGCCGCACATGTAAATGGCTCTGGGCACACCCTGGAACAACACTGAGACAGAAGGACCAGCGGTCCAATTCTGGTACGAAACAGCACCCCATGGCTCCTCCTGTGTGATGACACTCAGTGAGGATAGCTCAGTTGGTTGAACATGAGACTCTTAAATGTCAGGGTTGTGGGTTCATGCCCCACATTGGGCAAAAGATTCCTGCATTGCAGGAGGTTGGACTAGATGACACTCGTGGTCCCTTCCAACTCTGCAGTTCCATCATTCCGTGATCCGGATTAGACCAAAAGGCTCAGCCCAGTGTTGAATTTAGGGCCATTCCCCTGCACAGGCCGCTGAGCCAAGGGGGCGCAACATTGAGAAGATCCATCACTGAGAAGATCCATTTGGGGGCACCAAATGTTGGCCTGGCTGAAGGGGCCAGGATACCAAAGATGACCCAAGTCTGCCCCCAGTCAATCTCATTTCCCACAAACAGCGGGGTCCCACTTACCCGGATAACGTAGCGCGAGGAGTTCTTGTCGTCCAAGTTGACCGTGAGGGAGAAGAAGACGGCCGTGCTGTAGACCCCCTGCGTCTTGTACAGGAGCTCGTTGAAGTCCCATCGCGCCTGCCTGGCCGTGGCGGCGGCCATGTCCCAGCCGCCGCAGTCCTCCAGGACGTCCAGCATGGGCCGGGCGCCCTGCTGGTCGATCTCTGCCATGTCCAGGCAGGAGCGGAAGAATTCCTTGACCTTCCGCTCGGCCGAGGCCTGGTAGGGCCTTCGGATGGGCCTCAGCAGCAGGCGCCGCAGCTTCTCCTCGTTCTGCTCGCCGATGGCGGCGATGATGCCGTAGATGAGCTTGTCCTCTGGTATGGCGTGCCGCCGCAGCCAGCCGCCGCAGGCGAAGGAGTAGAAGTCCTTGCAGGGGTCAATGGTGTGGTCGATGTTGCCAGCGACGAAGCGGGACACCTTGACCAGGGCCTTGCGCTCCTGGCATCCCTTGAGGCAGTAGGCATCGTATTCGAGGGCCACGTATTTCAGAACCAGGATGCAGCCGAGGATGACGCAGAGCCCCGCTGCGAAGACCAGGCCCGAGAGGAGGCAGATCTCGCGCCGGCTCCAGCGGGGAAGGCCGCAGCGAGGCTTCTTGGGCACTGTCGCGCCCAGCTGGAGGTTGAACCCGTTGGGCAGGGTGCCGCTGCTGCTGTACTTGCTGACATACCTCACCTCCTGGAACTCGTCGTAGTGCGCCGTCAGAGAGTACGTCTTCTCCATCTTCGCGGCAGCGGATGTTGGGCTCTCAAAGTTAAGGGGCGCCCTGTGCGATGCTAAAAGCCAGCACTCCTGCCTCTCGTGCTTCGTTCTACGGCATGGTTGCGGTGCAGCCGAAACAGTTGCGCTACCCTAAAACCGTCTCCGCTGGCGGGCCAGAGGGGAGCTTGGCGGGCTGGCTGGGGACAGGGGCACAGAGGTCACCGGGTGGCCATGATGGCGCTGCGGCAGGAGATTCCAGCAGGGGGCGTTTAAGGCAAGCGACCAGGCAGGCAACAGCAGCAGCAACAGAAGTTCCTGATTTGGAAGCACCTCAGTCCAGGGAATCCCTCGCGGGACGGGGGCATCCACGCGCGCGTGGAACAGGTGGAGCCGCTTATTTTCCGCGGGCAGAGGCGGGTTGCTGCTCTGCAAAAAATAAAAATAAAAAACAGCAACACACATACAGTGAGATGTTTTAATTAGCGGGAGGGAAGAGAGGCGCCTCCATATTTTATAGCATCCTCGGGCGCGCAACGCGCGATAAGAGCCTCGTCGGGAATCGTTCCCCGTCCGCACAGGGAAATAGTGGGGCAGGGAGCGGGGAGAGGAGCCTGATCTCACGCCCACCTCCCCGATCCAGCCCCGCCAAACTCTCCCCACCCTTCCTAAACTGCAAACTCCCTTCCCTGCTAAGGCCCATGAGATTACGCGCCCCCCAAAACTGCCCCCACACCCCCACTCCGGGAGAAAAAGAGCATTTTTAGCGGGACAGACTCCAAGAAGAGCCATTGCCTGGGGCTTCAAGGGGAGTAGCAGTCCCCCCCCCCAGCTCCCCGCGCGCCACTTTGGAGACGGGCGGGGGGCGCTTGAAATTGGGACCAGTTCATCGCGACCACCCTTGCTTTGAATCATTTCTCCCTTCCAACTAGAAGATGATCCGTTGGGGTTTTTGTCTTTCGAGGAATGGGTCTCGCTATGGGTGATCTAAGGGGGTGTGTGGAGGCGATGTGCGCTCCCTCCCCACATCTCTAAGACCTCGCCGGCTTACAAAGACTCTCTCTTTCCATCGCGGAACAAGGGGAAGGAGGCGACGGGCGGAGAGGTCCGACTAGCCCTGCTACATCTAACTTCCCTGCAGCTCGGGTCGCCCCCATCCCATAACTTGAAGTTGGGGGGGGGGCGATCTCCCTTCTGGGGTTTGGGCACAGCCGATCGTCTCTTTTCGCCTCTTCTATGAAGGCTTTTCCGCCCTGCTTGTCTTTCTTGCGCGGCTGCTCATCGGGAGAGGCAGAGAGGGAGTCCCAATCTCCCGGGACCAGCGCCAGAAGCAATGGGGTTTTTTTGGGGGGGGGCGTCTGGGACCTCCAGCTTGCCAGGGCTTTTCCTCGCCTTCTCCTCCTCCCAGGCAGATTTGCAGCTGATCCCAAAGGAGGAGTCGGGGGGGGGCTAGCGGGACCCCACGACGCCCGGCCAGCCATGAGAATTGGGGGTGGGGTGGGGGCACGCCGGTGGAAGGCGTGCCGGGTCCGCGCGGGGAAGGGAGCGATCCTCCAAGCCTCGCCAACTTTCCAGCTCTCCTTCCTCCAGAATAAATGGGGGGGGTTAATTCGCGGGGGCCCCTCCGACGTGCCCCCTTCTTGGGGATAAGCGTCTGCGCCCACTCACGGTGGGAGGGGGGTGGAGGAAGAAGGTGGTGTGTGCCCCCCCCGGTCCCATTGTTCTTGGCCACTTTCCCCCAGAGCGCAGCGGCTTCTTCTTGGCACAGCTTTGGGGGGCTCAACAGCTCCCCGTCCCTCGAACCGACCCCGACCCCCCTCCCACTTTGGGACATGCCCGAGCACCGCTGCCCACCCCTTCCCCTTCCGGCCGCCTCTCCGGTCTGGATCTGTTGCGCTCTCCACGGCGCAAAGAAAGCAAGCCCGGAAAGTTGCAGGAGCAGATCTCTGGCTCCGGATCGGGATAGCAGGGGGTCGGTGGGGGGCACGTCTTCCTTTCTTGAGACCCCCACCCTCTCAAAAAGAAAGCTTACCTCCCCCAAAAAGAAACCAAGTTGCGCGGAGCAGAACCGGTGCGCCCCGGACCTCGCTGCCCAGTGACAGTCGCGCAGAGGCTGCGCCGGGAGGCAGAGCTGGGCGGGGGGGGGGGGCGTCTCTCCCCTCTCCCCCCTCCCGGGTCCGATCCCCCCTCCCCAAGTACCTGTAGTCAGAGCCTCGGGTCGCCTGGCTCAGAGCTGCCGCCTGCCTGCCTGCCTGCCTGCCTGCCTGCCGGAGGAGCCGGCGGTGAGGAGGGGGGTGTCTTCGCCTCAGCCCCTCTTTGCGGGCTCCTCCAGCCCTACCATCCCCTCCCCCCTTGGAAGTGCGGGAGAGAGAGAGAGAGAGAGAGAGAGAGAGAGAGAGAGAGAGAGAGAGAGAAACCCGCTCGATGATTATTATGCAAATGGCCCGGCGGTGCCTGAGCTCCAAAGTCTTACCTCATCCCTGCCAGGGCTGGGAGAGGGAGGCAGGGGGAGCTGGGCGGGGGGGGGAGAGAAGGGGACCACCTCTTCGCCCCTCCCTCCAGTGGGAGAGACCCCTGGGAGTGGGGAGGGGAACCCCCTGATTACTTGCAGGAGGGGTCAAGAGAGACCCCCCTTCTATAAGAGCTGGTTGAGGACAAGCCCTGGTGAGTGTGACGCGGGCGGGGGTCATCGCCCCTGGACCTGGGCAAGGGAATGAGAATGGGTAAAAAAAGGGACCCCCCCCCAAAAAAAGAATCTCACTTATAGACTCCTCTCGCGGCAAAGGGGAGAGAAGCCCTTTTCCTGCCTCTGGAGGGACTGGAGAGTTTCCCTTCACAGATGTGGTTGGAGGAAGCGCCAGATGTTCGTTTTTTGTGGCGGGGGCAATTTCGACCCAGACTGGGCGGGGGCGCGCGGTTCAGCTGGCTTCCTCCCAGCACCTGAAGAACCTGGCCCGCAGCTGGGGCTCTCTGCTTGGGTGTCTGGCCAGTTGCAAGGGGTGGGTGGGTGGTCCCTCCCCTCAGGCTTAGCTGCGGGGTGGACCCGATGTCCTCTGGGTTCCTTGCCGCTACAGAACGGCATTCTTCAGAGCTCTCTCTCTGTGGTTCCACAGGGGGTGTTTGCTGGGGGGAAGAGCTGTGTGTGTGGCAGTTCCGTGCCTTTGCTGAGTGTGTGTCTGCCAGGAAAAGTAGAGATGGGCGTGGATAGGAGGGGTTGCATCGTCCCTCCCTCCCTCTCCCCCCACCCCACTTCCAATATCCAGATTGAATCCAATCGGGAACATAACGCTGCATTGCAGATGAATCCCCACCATAAGTCCGCCCTCCACAGCGGGTGTCGCCGGTGGAGATTTATAGCCCATCAATTACAGCGGGTGTCACTCTGATCTGGGTAAATCAAAAGGGTTTGAATATTTATAGGGGGCACATGACGCCACGCACCTGCGGCTAGGTTGGCCCTGCTGGCATGCCGCAGAGGGCATGGCGGGCAGCCCCCTCCCTGCGGCCTGTTGGCTTAGCCTGGGAGGCATCTTGCTGGGACAATTGACCACCTGTGGCTGCACTCGCCTGCAGGCCAAGCCGTTCTGCCTAAAAAACCTACCTGCAAGGCACTCGCTTGGCATTTTAGAGCGTCCCAGGGCGCATTGTTCCAAAGATTCTCTCTCATGGCCTTATAGGTTAGGCCATGATTATACGCACGTTTTACAGCTGTGGGGGCAGAGTCAGGGAGAAGTGGCCTGGCAAGTTTGGGGCGGAGGCACGGTTTGAAGGAGGAAATCCCTGGCTCATCGCCGAGTCTTTGCACTCGTGGGGTCCAAATGTGGTCCTCCAAGTCTCTCTGCCATTGGAGCTCTCGCCATATCATACACCCACACACACACCGCCAGGTCATGAGCTGGGATAGCTCAGTTGGCAGAGCATGAGACTCTTAATCACAGGGTCGTGCGTTCGAGCCCCATGTTGACTGAAAGATTCCTGCATTGCAGGGGGTTGGACTAGATGACCCTCGGCGTCCCTTCCAACTCTACCAGTCTATGGTTCTATGCTCCTGCTCTGCATTCTCCTTTACTGCTTTGGCCAAGCTGAAACGTCTCCTGAAACTCAGTTAATGCCTTCTTCTTGGCTGGAGGGAAGACAGAGGCGGATTTAGGGCAGTGCAAATGGTTCCCTCGCACTGGGTACTGAGCTATGATGTAGTGCACATGCAGAACGGGAGGCAAGGGGCAGGGGGGCGTGTGTGCCAAATTTTGGGCTTGCACAGGGCACTGCTGAATTTTGAAAGACCAAATTCTACCCTTGGTGTGTTTGTGTGCATGTAGAAACTTTTTTTAAAAAGGAAAACATAAAGGACCCCATGACGGTTAAGTCCAGTCAAAGGCGACTATGGGGTTGCAACACTCATCTCGCTTCAGGACGAGGGAACCGGCGTTTGTCCACAGACAGATTTCCGGGTCATGTGGCCAGCATGACAACCACTTCTGGTGCAACGGGACACCGTGACGGAAGCCAGAGCGCACAGAAATGCTGTTTACCTTCCCGCCAGAGCGGTACCTATTTATCTACTTGTACTGGTGTGGTTTCGAACTGCTAGGTTGGCAGGAGCTGAGACAGAGCAATGGGAGCTCACCCCGTCACGGGGATTCAAACTGCCAACTTTCCATTTGGCAAGCCCAAGAGGCTCAGTGGTTTAGACCACAGCGCCACCCGCATCCCAGTGTAGAAACTAGCCAGCTGTACAAAGATAACCTTTACTTCTCCCACTTGGGAATGTTTTGCAACCTTTCTTCAATACAAACTTATCTCCAGCCCCTTGATCATTTTGGGTGTCCATTTCTGAGCGCTCGCCAGCTCTTCCAATATCCGCTTTGAGGTGCAGGGAGGAGAGACAACGCAGAGCAGCTCTAGGATGGGGAACCTGGTTGTCTTCCATAACTTGGTGAACTCCTACTCCCATCAGCCAGCATGGCCAATGGCCAATGATGGGATTTGTAGTCCATCAATATATAGAGGACCACAGGTCCCTTGTCCCTGTGTAGCTTGTTGCATAGGAGCATCGGAAACAACCTTCTACAGAGTTGGACCAATGGTCCAACTGCCTCTGGGTTAGCTCAGTGTTGTCCTATGACCATGAAAAATAGAGTCCCTTGGACCACTCACCTTCTCTTCCCCAAAGCCAAGGATGTTTCAAGGACAAAATGGGATTCTCCACAGTAGGGGATGGGTGGTGCCTCTGGTGGGCGACACGTTGTCATCCTTCTGGGGTCGTTTGTCCTCCTTTGGTGCCCACTCTCACCTGTGGCTCCTGTGGGATGTGAAGCACAAGAGCAGTCAAGTACAACATTCCTAGAGTGGACATGTTTACACATGGGGAGGAATGTTTGTCCAGCCAGCAGGTAAACTTCCTGTTTCCTTCTGGGCTGGGACAGACTTCCTCTGCATGTGACTAGAGGTGGGCGTGGCCTCACCTGTGCAGGTAACATCAAAAGCACAGGGCAGGGCAGCTATCTCTCTCTTTGACTACATGCATGTAAGAAGCAACATCTGCTTAGGCAAAGATGCTCTCTTGGCCACCAGCCTAGAGAGGACAAAGGGACTGTCTTCTTATGAGATAGTTTCTAGGTATATGTTACTTTTCTAAGCTAAGTCTGCCTTCTGGGATCTGACTGTGAACAGAATGTGAGTAAACTCTTTTACAGAAGACTGTGTCGTGTCTTATCTTTTATGAGGGAATAAGGGGGAAACACTAGAACAGTTATTATAGAGGCTTTAGCGAGCCTGAGCAAACGCATCCGCTGCAAGTTTAAAAAGGGGAATGTTACTCTGCTAAATTGTGAACTTGTTAACACAAGTTGGAAAGGCTATAATCAGACAATATATCCTCTCCTGCATCCCTGAACATTCCCACAGCTCCTGGAAGCTGTCAACATGCAACAGAGGATACACCCTGGGAACGGCTTCAACTGGTCGGCTAAGCCAGGTGAGGGAAACTGATGGGTCTCAAATCCTCGGGGAGTTAGGGATGTTCCCCTGAGTGTGAAGACAGGCTCTGGAGGATTGAGCAGACCAGACCAAGAGTGGGTCTAATGGTCAAGAAGGCAGTTCCTGCACATGCTGCAGAGGGAAGTGAGGGCCAGATGGGGCGCATCAGTCTGGGAAAGGAGCCCATCTAGGAGAAGGAAAACTCCGGTCCTAAATCCCAGCTGCCTTGAGGGATATCTTCAGGAGAAGAAAAGGCTAGGGAGTAAACCCTACACAAATCTGGAGTGGAGTCCCCAAGACAGTTGGATGGAGCCTTGTACGCCTCCTTCTGGCAACTCCTGCAGCCAAGCTAGTGCCAAATATCTTGATCTGCTTCCTTTCCTTTGGACCACATCAATGAAGCTGGGAGGGGAGTCTTGTTGTCTGGTCAGCCCAGGACCTCCAGACATACAGCCCAGGCTTGCACAAATTAATGCAGCAGTTTGGTGTAGCACACTCCATTGTCTCTTGAGGCAGACGGATACCAACCAAGTAAGTATTTGAACCTGTTGTGTGAATGCTCATCCGTGGAATTTGTGTAGTAGCGATCAAGAGTGCCTCTTAGCACGTGCAGACTTTTCTTCTTCTTCTTCTTCTTCTTCTTCTTCTTCTTCTTCTTCTTCTTCTTCTTCTTCTTCTTCTTCTTCTTCTTCTTCTTCTTCTCCTCCTCCTCCTCCTCCTCCTCCTCCTCCTCCTCCTCCTCCTCCTCCTCCTCCTCCTTGAATTACTACCACTGGCTTCCCAAGTGAGTTTGTCCCTGCCACTCTCTTTAAGTGGGCCTTGATGAGAGCCGTGAAGGGGGAAGCCGGCTGATTAATTAGAGGGAGGGGGAGCTTCTGCTAGCCAGAAGACAGAGGGGAAAGCGTGGGAGAAAAGCCAGAGAGCTTTCACAGAGGGCCAAGGGTGAGTGAAAAAACGGGGTTGATGGAAGGCGGTACACTCAGGAAGAGACGGGGCTCAGTGGCAGAGCATCAGCTGCCAGCCAGTGTAGGCACCACAGAACTGAAAGAACTTCATGGTGAGTTTTTCCGGCACCTATTTTTCTTTGGGGCGGGGGGAGTGCTGCCTCCTAATCAGATTTAATTGTGCCACCTGAATTTGTCAGTATGTGACAGAATCCCACCCGAAAAGAGGAGAAAAGATTCCAGCAGTTGCTTTCTGTCTTGAATGTCAACTTTCTCAGGCCAGCCCTGCTAAGGCAACCCTCCTCCTCCTTCTTCCTGGGTTTGGAGCGCAACAAAAAGCCCTCTAGGAACTTGAGGTTGTGGTGGTGGGGAGAACAGTGGGTCGGGCTTTTCATAGTTCCACCCCAGGAATGATCTACCCCGAGTCAGAACACACAGATCCCTCCTACGTTATTAATGGTGGT